GTGAAATCTACTCATTTGACATGTGTTACCACATCCTATACACTGTGTTTCAAATTATTATGCAAATTGGATTTAAGTGTCATAAAGATTTAATTTTTTGTTGTGGTATTAAATTTATAGATGGTATTGTGTCTCAGGGCTCTTTGAATCACTGTAATTAATTTCAGAGAGCTGGGTTGACTAGTTTGTCTGGTGAGCTAATGAACTAAAGGAAATCTACTTAAGAAGGATGTTCCACATTATTAAGCAGGCCACAGGTTTAAAGCAATATTGGAAAGAGAAACGTTCTCTTCTGATGAAAATCATCAGATAGTGTAGTGCCATATGACAAAGTATGAAAACATTAGATATTTAATGAAAACTGAAGCGTTATCATAATGTGAAGAGATTTGTGGCTGATTCAGAACAAAGATGGGTTTGTGCAGACAAAGGCATAATGAGGAAGGTTTCTGTTAGATAAATTCATTGGATTAAGAGAGCAGCTGTTAAAATGCCATGGCAAAGCAGCAAACAGTTATTTGAAGCTCCTGGTGCTTCTCAAACCTCAAGGTGGAGGATCCTCCAGAGGCTTGTTGTACATGAACCTAGTATTTGGCCACCCCTAACCAGTTCTCACAAGTAGAAACAGTCGCAGTGGGCCCAGCAGTACATGAAGAAACAGACTTGTTCACTGATGACTGCTGCGGCTTGGTGGATTGGTGGTGGGTGGCCGTCATATCCCAAAACGGCTGTGACGTCAGCAAGGAGTTGGTGGAGTCATTTTTTGGGCCAAAATCATGGGGAGAGAGCTGGTCGGCCCCTTTAGGGTCCCTGAAGGTGTGAAAATGACCTCATATGGATTTTCTGACTGTCATGTGAACAAGGAGTGTCGTTTGGTCAGATGACACCAAACATGAACTCTTTGATTGGCATTTCACATGGGAGGAAGACTGGTTCTGAAAATCAACCCTAAAACACCATGCTGGGTATTAGCAATGCAAGCTTGGGTTGTCTTAGAGAAAAGGGCTGGATAGCGAAATGTACTGAGACTCTGTAAAGTATCAAACTGACAATATTTGGAAAAAGCTGAAGATCAGTGTCCAGAAAATGCCTGCAGAACCTTTGAGATTGGAAGGCAGTCTGTGCAAAAGAATTGTCAAAAATAACATCTATATTTAACTAGATCCTCCAAGCAGGAGACATTTAGAAGTTGTCACCAATTATACTTTCTAAAAATATTCAATACATTTTTGATAAATATTTTCAGAAATTGTATCCAGAGGCATCAGACTGACAGGTGTTATTATCTCACATGTCTGTTTTGATGATGGTAGCACTTGTTACAGTCAGACATTTTACTGGAACTTGAGG